CCCACAGGTGACCCTGGCACAGGTGAGTCCCACAGGTGACCCTGGCACAGGTGAGTCCTCACAGGTGACCCTGGCACAGGTGAGTCCCCACAGGTGACCCTGGCACAGGTGAGTCCCACAGGTGACCCTGGCACAGGTGAGTCCTCACAGGTGACCCTGGCACAGGTGAGTCCCCACAGGTGACCCCTCTCTCCAGCCCCTCCTTAGTGCCCCCCGTCACCTCCAGCCCCCCCAGACCCCGCTTAGAGCCCCCCAGACCCCCCCTTAGGGACCCCCCAGACTGCACTGAGGGATCCCCCTCCCCTCAAAAGCCCCTTTAGAGCCCCCCCCGACCCTATTTAGGGACCCCCCCTTCCCCTCCAGACCCCCTTTGGAGCCCCCCCGACCCTATTTAGGGACCCCCCTCCCCTCCAGCCCCCCCAAAGCGCCCCTCAGGGACCCCTTTAAGGGACGCCCCCCCCCTTCCCGCGGCCCCTTTAAGAGCGCTCGGCCCCGCCCCTCCACCCATGACGTCACCTCGGACTCATCCTGCCCCGCCCCCTCCTCCTCCTCCTCTTCCTCCTCCCGCTCCTCCCCCCTGCCGTGACCCCGGGGGCCGCCGCCGCCCAGGCAGAGTCGGGGGGGTTCGGGGGAGGTCGGGAGGGGGTCTGGGGGTCGCCCCCTCCCCGTTTTACCGGACCCTCGATCCGCCCGAGCCCCCCATTTCGGGGACACGGCGCCATTAAGGGCGCCTGAGGGCGCGGGGCGGGGCTTGGGGAGGCAGGCCAATGGAAGTGCGGCGAGGGGAGGCGGGCGGCCAATGGGAGGGCGGCGGGGGGCGGGGTGAGGGTTGCCATGGCGACGAGCGCGCGGCCTCGCTTTAACGGGGGGGGGGGGAAGCAAGAAAGAGACCCCGGGGGGGTCAAGGGCGGGTCAGGGGGGGTCTGGGGGCATGGGAGGGTCTGTCGGGGGTCCCTTGGACACCTTCCATGGGCCGGGGGGACCTGAGAGCTCACCTGGTTCCCATGGACACCTTCCACAGCCCAGGTGGGACCCAAAGCTCACCTGGGCAGGGACACCTTCCACAGCACAGGTGCAACCATAAACTCACCTGGGGATTCCAAAACCTCCGTGAAAACCCAGGAGTTGCACCAAGGGTGGTTCCCTGTGCCCACGGGCAGGTGAGAGCTCACCTGGGGGGGCTGGATGCACACCTGGATACGGGAGAACACCTGCCTGACCAGGTGAGAGCTCACCTGGGGGTGCTGGATGCACACCTGGATACGGGAGAACACCTGCCTGACCTTGCTGACTCGGCGTTTTTCCAGCTTTTCCATCCCGGCTTCGTTTCCCTGGGCTCTGCCTGCACCCCCTCCGTGTCCAGGGCGTGTCCAGGTGTGTCCCTGTACCTGCCCATGGCCCCACCCCTGCCCTGGGATCTCCCCGTGGGCTGTTCCCCACTGGAACAGGTGTATCCAGTGGGATCCACGGCGCTCCTGGAAAAGGGGGATTGACCCTGGAACCGGTTTGGGGACGAGTGACAACGGCAGCATCCAGGTGAGTGCAGGTGGATCCATGGGATTGGGGGGGGAGGTTTGGGACAGGTGAGTGCAGGTGGATCCATGGGATTGGGGGGGGAGGTTTGGAACAGGTGAGTGCAGGTGGATCCATGGGATTGGGGGGGAGGTTTTCCCAGAGGGAGAATCCCCTTCCCAGATGGAAAATTCCCTCCCCGGCAGTGGGGGGACACCGGGACCCTTCCCGTCCTCCCTCCTCCAGGAAGGGATATCCCGGGATTTTTAACATTTTTTTAAAATCCTGGGATTGTTTTAATCCAAATAATCTCGGATTCTTCGCCCATCAGCTCCAATCAAAGCTGTGATCGGACCCAGCTCCCACGGGATCGTCCCATCCCATCCCATCCCATCCCATCCCATCCCATCCCATCCCAGCTAAACCCGGGTTTAACCGGAGCTCGATTAACGATCCCACGAGTTTGAACTCAAACCCGGTGGTTTTGCCCCAAAATTCCTCAAATCCGCTGGAAAGGCCGGATTTTGTCTGTCCTGGGGTGTGTGTGGGAACCATCAACCCACGCACAGATCCACTGGGATGGGGGGGGTTTGGGCGTGGGATGGGTTAGGAGGGGGGTTATCAATGGGTTTATCAATAGGGGGTTTATCAATGAGTTTATCAATGGCTTATTCATCAATGAGTTTATCAATAGCTTGTTTATCAATGGGTTTATCAATAGGGGGTTTATCAATGAGTTTATCAATGGCTTATTTATCAATGAGTTTATCAATAGCTTGTTTATCAATGGGTTTATCCATAGGGGGTTTATCAATGAGTTTATCCATACGTGGTTTACCAATGGGTTTATCAATAGCTTGTTTATTGATGAGTGTATCAATAGCTTGTTTATCAATAGGTTTATCCACAGGTTGTTTATCAATGGGTTTTATGAATGGGACGTTTGTAAATTGCTTGTGAGTGGGTTTATCAATGAGTTAATTGATCGGTTTATCAATGGGTTTTCCAATGGATTTTTTGATAGCAATGGGTTTATTGATGGGTTTATCGATAGATTTATTAATGGGTTATCGATGGGTTTATTAGTGGGTCTGTCAATGGGTTTATTGATGGGCCTATCAATGGGTTTATCAATGGATTTATTGATGGGTTTATCAATGGTTTATTAATGGACCTATCAATGGGTTTATTGATGGGTGTATCAATAGATTTATTGATGGGTTTATCAATGGGTTTACTGATGGGTCTATCAATGGGTTTTTCTGGATTTATCAATGGGTCAATCAATGGGTTTATCAGTGGGTTTATCAATAGGCCTATCGATGGTTTATCAGTGGGTCTATCAATGGGTTTATCGGTGGGTTTATCAATAGGCCTATCGATGGTTTATCGATGGGTCAATCAATGGGTTTATCGGTGGTTTATCAATGGGCTTATCGATGGTTTATCAATGGGTCTATCAATGGGTTTATCAGTGGGTTTATCAATGGGTTTATCGGTGGTTTATCAGTGGGTCTATCAATGGGTTTATCGGTGGGTCAATCAATGGGTTTATCAGTGGGTCTATCAATGGATTTATCGGTGGGCTTATCAATAGGCCTATCGATGGTTTATCGATGGGTCTATCAATGGATTTATCGGTGGGTTTATCAATGGGTTTATCGATGGTTTATCGACGGGTCAATCAATGGGTTTATCGGTGGGTTTATCAATGGGTTTATCGATGGTTTATTGATGGGTCAATCAATGGGTTTATCAATGGGTCTATCAATGGGTTTATCGGTGGGTCTATCAATGGGTTTATCGATGGTTTATCGGTGGGTCTATCAATGACTCGTCTCCGCACTGGTACCCAGGCGCACAGGAAGGACGTTTCAGGGCTCCTCACTGTTCTGGGGGGTTTCTCCTCTCTCAGTTGTTTGTTTGACGAGGGAAGGGCTCGGATCCGACTCCGTTTGATCCCAACATTTCCCTTTCCTCGGCCCTGGGGGTGTGACCCCCCCCCCCCCGACCGCCCCAGCCCTTTGTGCTGCCCCCAACTCGGGGGCTTTTTGTACCGAAAACACCAGAAAAGGGAGTTAAAGGCTGTTTTGAAAATGCGAATGGAGCGAAAGTTTGGAATTGTCCCCTGAGGAGCCTCTGGCTGCTGCGAGCTGGGGGTTCCCCCACCTTCCTTCCCCTTTCCTGCCGGGCTGGAACTTCCTTTTTTGGGGTTTAGTGTTTCTGGGGGGGATTTGGGGTTTTCCCACCCCTGGGTACACACTGGTTGATTTTCCTCCCCTGCTTGGCTTCGTAAATTAACGGGGGGAAAAAACCCCAAGAAAGCAGCTCAGGTTTGGGGAGATGCCCAAATCCAGGGAATTTGGGCAGATTCCGCAGCTCCAGGGATTTCAGGTAGATCCTGAACTCCAGGAGATCCAGGTAGACCCCCCCACACACCTCCAGGGAATTCAAGTAGAGCCCCCAAAATCCAAGGAATTTAGGCAGGTCCTGAAATCCAGGATATTCAGGCAGATCCCCAAATCCAAGAAATTTCAGCAGACCCCCAAATCCAGGATATTTAGGTAGACCCCCCAATTCCAGGGAATTTAGGCACATCCTCAAATCCAGGATATTTGGGCAGAGCTCCAGCTCTGGGGAACTTGTGGAGATCCCCAATTCCAGGAAATTCAGGCAGATCCCACATCCAGAATCTGGGCAGGTCTCAACTCCAGGAAGTTTTAGGCAGATTCCCAGTTTAGGCCAATCCCCAAATCCAGGATGTCTTGGCAGATCCCAACTCCAGAGAATTCAAGCAGAGCCTCCAAATCCAAGACATTTCGGCAGATTCCCAAATCCAGGAGGTTCAGGCAGATCTCCATCCCCGGGAAATTCAAGCAGAGCCCCCAAATCCAAGAAATTTCGACAGACCTCCAGCTCCAGGATATTTAGGCAGAAACATGGAATTCAGGCAGACCCCTGACAGCAGGGAATTCAGGTAGGATCTTAACTCCAGGGAATTCCAGGCAGACCCCCAGCTCCAGGGAATTCAGGCAGACCCCAAATCCAGGGAATTGCAGGCAGACCCCAAATCCAGGGAATTGCAGGCAGACCCCAAATCCAGGGAATTCAGGCAGACCCCCAAATCCAGGGAATTGCAGGTGGACCCCCAACTCCAGGGAATTCCAGGCAGACCCCAAATCCAGGGAGTTGCAGGCAGACCCCAACTCCAGGGAATTCCAGGCAGACCCCAACTCCAGGGAATTCAGGCACACCCCCAAATCCAGGGAATTCAGTCAGACCCCAACTCCAGGGAGTTGCAGGTGGACCCCAAATCCAGGGAGTTGCAGGTGGACCCCCAGCTCCAGGGCATCCCGGGGCCTGCCCGTGTGTCTCATATAAAATATTCCTCCTTGTCCTTGCCCGGGGGCTCCTGGCCCGGCTCCGGCTCTGGCTCGGGCTCGGGCCGCTCGTAGGTGTGGTAGGAGCCCCTGTTCCGGTACAGGTACAGCCCGATCACCGACAGCGCCGTCAGCAGCGTCAGGAACACCAGCGTGAGGGTCACTGGGGGGAGAGGAGGAACACCAGGGTGAGGGTCACTGCGGGGAGAGGAGGAACACCAGGGTGAGGGTCACTGCGGGGAGAGGAGGAACACCAGGGTGAGGGTCACTGGGGGGGGGAACAGGAACACCAGCGTGAGGGTCACTGGGGGGAGAGGGAACACCAGGGTGAGGGTCACTGTGGGAACACCAGGGTGAGGGTCACTGGGGGGGAGGAACCGGGAGCGGGACTGAGCGGGGTTGAGCGGGATGGAGCGGGATGGAGCGGGGTTTAGCGGGATGGAGTGGGATGGAGCGGGATTGAGCGGGATGGAGCGGGATGGAGCGGGGTTTAGCGGGGTTTAGTGGGATTGAGGCGGGTTTAGCGGGGTTTAGCGGGGTTAGTGGGATTGAGCGGGGTTTAGCGGGATGGAGCGGGGTTTAGTGGGATTGAGCGGGGTTTAGCGGGGTTTAGTGGGATTGAGCGGGATTGAGCGGGGTTTAGCGGGATGGAGCGGGGTTTAGCGGGATTGAGCGGAGTTTAGCGGGGTTTAGCGGGGTTTAGCGGGATGAGGCGGGATGGAGCGGGGTTTAGCCCCGGAGTTGTGGAGGGAAGGGCCTCACCCGCGATGACGGCGGTGTCGGCGTCCTCACTGCCGCGGGGGGTGAGAGCCTTCCTCAGGTCCGGGGTCGTCAGGTCTTCCTCGGGAAAGGGGGAGAGGAAGGTCAGGGAGGGCCCAAAGCGGGGCCGGAGCCCGGGGTGACCCCGGGGGAAGGGGCTGGAAAAGGGATTCCGGGGATTCCGGGGGTTCCAGGGGCTCACCTGCGCTCAGGTGGGAAGGGGGTCCCTCCATTCCTTCCGGGGGAGGGGCTGGGATCCGTCAGAGCTGCCAAAAATAGGGATAAAAGGGGTGAATTCCCACTCAATTCTCTGTCACCGGCGCTCAGGTGGGAACGAGCTCCGTCCTTAGATCGGCTCCTTCCAGGGGAGGGGCTGGGATCCGTCAGGGCTGCCGAAAATAGGGATAAAAGGGATGAATTCCCACTCAATTCCCCATCACCTGCGTTTCAAATTGCCCGAAACGCCTCGAAATGCCCCAAATCCGGGGCGGGAAAAAACCAGCCCCCGCCTGGCTTCACTCCCGAACTTTGAGAGCCTCAAATTGCCCAAAACGCCTCGAAATGCCCCAAATCCGGGGCGGGGAAACACCAATCCCCGACCGGCTTCGCTCTCAAACTCTGAGAGCTTCAAATTGCCCGAAACGCCTCGAAATTGCCCCAAATCCGGGGCCGGGGGCCGACGTTGAGCTGCCGGACCCACCTCGGCTCTGCCCGACGGGGACCCCCCCGGACCCCCCCAAAAACGGCTCCCGCGGTGGCTCCGGCGCTGCCCGAGGGCTGCGGGGTCGGTGACTCAGCGGATCGGGAGCGGATCAGATTTAAGCGTTTATTTGTTTTTAAAGAACAAAAGAGGAAATGGAGCGGCGGGAGCTCGGCCCGGGGCCAGGAGCGGGAGGGGGGGGGGGGAATTCGGGGCCGAGGGAAGCGCGGGAACTCCCAAATTTTCCCAAAAAATTAATTTTCTCCGCCCCCGGCTCGGGCTCAGCCGCTCGCTAAACTCCGCTTTACCTAAACCCAGCTTTGCTTTAAACCCAGTTTCTCTTTAAACACAATTTTGCTCTAAGCCTGGTTTTAATTTAAACCCGGGTTCCCTTTAAACCCATCTTTGCTTTAAACCCAGCTTTACTTTAAACCCAGCTTTCCTTTAAACCCAGCTTTGCCTTAAAACCAGCTTTGCTTTAAACCGGTTTTTTTAAAAAACCGCCTTTAAAATCCCGCTTTGTTTCCATTTAATTCACTTTTAATCTGTTTACTTTAAACCCGGTTTTGCCGCAAACGCCGCCTCGCTTTAAACCCGGCTTTTCTTTTACACCCAGCTTCTCATTAAACCCGGTTTTATTTCCAACCCGGTTTTCCTTTCGACCTGGTTTTGCTTCGGTCCCGGCGTCGTGTTCGGCCCAGCTTTTCTTTAAACTTGATTTTGTTTTAAATCCCTCTCGCTTTAAACCCGAGTTTGCTTCAAGTCCGGCCTTTCATTAAACCAAACCCTGAATTAAACCCGATTTTGCTTTAAAACCGCCCTTCCTTTAAATCCACTTCGCTTTAAAGACGATTTTGCTTTAAACCCGGTTTTGCGTTAAATCCGGGTTTGCCTCAAACCCCGCTCTGAGTTAAACCCGGTTCTGCTTTAAACCCGGCTTTGCTTTAAGCCCGACTGCTCATTTTAAACCCGGCTTTGCTCCTGGGGAGGCCGCGGGTCCTTCCCAAAGCCGAGCCCGACCTTCCCGCGGAGCAGCCGCTGCTCGGGGGCGGCTTCGGAGCCAAAATCGGGCCCGGTTTCCCCAAAAAAAATCGGGATTTAAGGGAAAAAGAGGAAAAGGCGCCGCTGGACGGAGCGGGAGCGGCCCCGAGCCCCAGGGAGGGTTCCTTGGGAAGAATCCGGGTGGGAAACACAAACCAGTTCTGCGCCCACAACACCCGAAAACCGGGAATCTGGGATTCAAGGCGCCCGGAAAACGGAGTCCTGGGACCCCCATAAAGGAATTCTGGGACCCACCAGGGGTTTAAAGGGAATTTTCTCGGAGGGAAAGGCTCAAATTGCGTCAAAGAATCCACGGCCGTGCTCGGGCTCTGTCCCGGGGGAGGGATGATCCCAATGGATCCCGCCTCGGGATCACGGAAAAGAACTCGCCAAAAAATAATTCGGGAAGGCTCCGGCGCTTCCCAGCGCGGAAAACCACCCGCGGGATGTTGGGCGGTGCCGGGCCGGGATGCGGCCGGTGGGAAGCGGGGGGTGACTCATTCCCGGCTGGATCCCGACAGATCCCGGCGGATTTTCCACGCGTTTTTAGAACAGGGTTGTGGAAAAACCCTCCTGTTCCTCGTTCCTGGGCTCCGGAGCCATTCCCGAGGGAAACCTCTCCCTGTTCCACCGCTCTGATCACAAAAACTCCTCCGAGGAGCATCGGGGATGCAGCCCCCCCCCCCATTCCCAGTCCCATTCCCCTCCCCCTTCCAGGCGGATGGAGGATGGGATGAGCAAACCACCCCCGCAGGCTGATTTTGGGGATGCTCGAGGGCACCTTCCCAGCCCCACATTCCCATTCCCATTCCCAGTGGGCAGAGGATGGGATAAACAAACCATCCCCACGGCGTTTTTGGGGGGTTCTTGGCAGCCCCCCATTCCCATCCCATCCCCATTCCCGGTGGCTGGAGGACGGGATGAGCAAACCAGGAGTTTTTTTGGGAATGCTCGGCAGCGCCTTCCCAACCCTGCATTCCATTCCCCTCCCCATTCCCATTCCCATTCCCATTCCCATTCCCATTCCCATTCCCATTCCCATTCCCACCGCAGGGTGGGATCAGCAAACCATCGTCACAGCTGCTTTTGGGGGGGCTCAGCAGCACCTTCCCAGCCCCCTTCCCATTCCCATCCCCATCCCCATTCCCATTCCCATTCCTGGTGGGTGGAGGACGGGACAAACAAACCATCCCCACAGGGATTTTTGGGGGGTTCTTTGCAGCTCCTCATTCCCATTCCCATTCCCACTCCCATTCCCATCCCCATCCCCACCCCCATCCCCATCCCCATTCCTATTCTCATCCCATCCCCATCCCCATTCCCATCCCCATCCCCATTCCCATCCCCATCCCCATCCCACCCCAATCCCCATTCCATCCCATTCATCCCACCCCACCCCCCCCCCCATTCCCATCCCCATTCCCATTCCCATCCCCATCCCCATCCCCATCCCCATCCCCATCCCCACTCCCATTCCCAGCGCACGGAGGGCGGGAGGAGCCGCTCACCCTCTTTCCTCCCCCCCGGGATGATCCCCCGGGATCAGAACTTTTGCTCCCTCCTGTTCCCCCCCCTTCCAGCTTTCCTGCCGGATTTCCCGCTTTCCGCCTCTCCCCGCGCCAGGATCCGGCCTTTTCCCTCCCCTCCCGCCCCAAATCCCGCTGGAAAACCCGCGGCCGATCCCGACGTTGCGGCTTCACCCCCCCCAAACCCGCCTCGCTCCGCGCTCCCGCAGGATCCCGGTGGTGCCTCCTCGTCCCGATCCCCGTTCCCTCCGCATCCACCCGCTCCAAACCCCCCGGGGAACCGGGAATTCCGGGGGGGACATCCCGGGATCCTGCCCTTACCTGGCGGCCCCGCGCGCGGCTCCGGGCGGTGCCCAGGTGAGGGCGTTGCCCTTTCCCGGCCTCACCTTTCCAGTTTGGCCGGAACGAGGAGCGGCCCCCGGGGATCCTCCCCCGCCCCGTTAACCCCTCGCTGGCTGCGGGCCGAGGTTTTGGGGGGAAAAACGGGGGGATTTGGGTTTTTTTTGCGGGGAGCCGGCGGAACCAGCGGACGCCTTTTCCCTGAATGCCGTGTGCTGGAGGAGGGGAGGGACACAGCGGGACAACCCTTCCCCCCCCCGCACCCTTCAGTCACCCTAAACCCGCCGGCGGGGCCCCCTCTGCCCCCTCCCCGATCCCAGACGGAGATTTGGGGGTTTTGTCGCATTTCCCACCTTTATTTCGGACGGGAAGGGGGGGGGTTAGGAGGCGCATCCCGAGGAAGGAATTTGGGGCAGATGCCCCCGTTTCCCGCGGGCTCAGGGGGTGCTGAGGGGCTCGGCGGGGGGGTCCTGGGTGGGGGATTCACCGCGCGGGGTGTCCTGGCTCGTGTCCCGGCTCGTGTCCCGCTCCGGTGTCCCGGGACAGCCCTGGGAGAGACACGGGGGGGTCACCGACACCTCGCGACCCCCTTAAACCGGACCCAAAACCGAGTCCTCCCCCCCGTAAGAGGGGTTCAGGTCACCCTCCCTCCAGCCCTCCCCCCCGCAGCAGCGTCTCACAGGGACCCCTGGACCCCCCTCCCCGTGTCCCAGTGTCCCCGTGTCCCCGCGTCCCTCCCGGGTGCCCCCAAAATCCGGGAATCCCCCCCGGGGGCGTCTCCCAGAACTTTCTCCCGCCGGTTCCCTCACCCGCGGCTCCGCATCCGCGCTGTCCCCGCTGTCCCCGCGCTGTCCCCCGTCCCCGCCGGGCTGTCCCGGCTCCCGGGGACGCCGCAGGACATCGCGGGGGACACCCGGGCTTGGGGACATCGGGCCCTCCCCGCTGGTGGCCGCGGCTGTGCCCGGCTCCGGTGACGCGCTGCCGGTGGCCCTGGCGACGGCCTCGGACAGAATCAGCGACACCAGGGAGGTGGCGATGCCCTCGGGGCCCCCCCGCGCGCCGCCGTCACCCCCCCGGCCGGAGGGGTCCGGGGTCACCGCTGTCCCCGCGGACGCGGCGCGGGGGTCGCGCTCTGGGGTCTCCTCGCTGGACACGGACACTGTCACCGGGGTCCCCTCGCCGTGGGTGGGGTTGGGCTCGGGGGGGTCCTCGCTGGACACGGACACTGTCACCGGGGTCCCCTCGCCGTGGGTGGGGTTGGGCTCGGGGGGGTCCTCGCTGGACACGGACACTGTCACCGGGGTCCCGTCGCCGTGGCCGGGCTCGGTGTCCGGGGGGTCCTCGCTGGACACCGACGCCGTGTCCAGGGACCCCGCGCTGGCGGGCGAGGCGGGGGGCGGCCCGGGGGACGCGGCCCCCAGGTCCCCGTTGGCGGTGGTGGCATCGATGGCAGCGCTGCCACCCCCCCCAGGCGACCCCGCTGTCCCCGCGGGCGCCTCGTCCGGGCAGGGGAACATCGGCGGGGGGCTCAGGGGGGG